TGTCCTCAAATGCGTGAGAATATCCGAAGACGGAGCAGTGGATATGCTTGGGAAAGGACTGCAAAAGAACTGAGAAAGCATGTCTTGGCGCTGGAACCCAGCGTTTGTAGAATGGTCGGAAAATCAATGGGAAAACATCAGACTTCGGATGCACATCTTGCTTACCATAGGACGATGCGCGTTCTTGTATATGAGTTGCGTTGGATAGGAAGTATCCGATGTCAATGTACGGCCAACTCCAATCAAACTGACTCAGTTTGCGGCTACCTTCGACATCCCGCATAGTATTGCTGGGTTCAATTAATTTTGCGTATAACTTGTCCCTTAATCCAGCTTCCTTAATAATAATTTCGGGGGCGAGTGGTTTGAACTTCTTCCATAAGATCGGTCTTGCGCTGAAATCAACGAGAACATCCAGGTCATCATCCCAAGGCGTGATATCGTGGTGACGAACAGATCCAAGCAGAGTACCAGCATAGATCATCCATTTGTCACTCAAGCCAAGCTCTTCCATGCCCTCTTCAAATATACTGAATAGTTTCCAAAATGTGCGCATCTGTTCACGACTGAGTTGTGGTTTCAGAGGGACTTGAAGGCTGCCCGGAGCACCCATCGGAAGGGATACAAATTCCCGTTTCGGCCAGTCTATTTGCTCCAGATTTGGCAAATTCTGACGCTTCAATTTCGTCCGATTGCTATCCACGACAAAACTTTGCAGATCCGGCTGTTTTTGCATGCTCTTCTGAGAAAAGTGACCGGCTTGACGTACTTTGTAGATTTGAAAAATGTTAAATGATATGCATGCAGTCAGCAGAATGCCAAGCACAATCAAGATAAACCGAATAACAGACATTTCGTTCCACTTTTTGTACCGGTTCTAAGTTCCTTTTAAGAGAAAAAACAACCCGTAAACAGCAAAATGTGCAGAGGAAATAATGCAACGTGACATGCAAGTAATCTAGTAAAAAAGATGTAATCGAGCAAATCTCCTTAGCGCTATCGGCGTGTCCACCAGGATTCTGTACAATTAGGCTCATCCAAGTCCTCAAAAAACTAATGAGAATGATCGCTTTCCGAGGGTGAAAGCGAATTTCTCCGAGAACCGTCAAGCCCATTTTAGAGGATAATCAATAAAGGCCATTTAATCAGAAGTCCGGCAAAACTCACGTAATCACAATGTGTCATCAGCAAAGCCAAAACTGACTTTAATTACGTGTGTGAAGATCCTATTCAATACACAATTGCACACCGAATCAAAATGCATCAGCAGACAAGTGTATGTAAGTGGATATCATCCTCATGTGATTGGCATGTTAATTCCATATTCAGTACCTTAAAAGAATTGGCACTAGGCATATGCACCCTGTGGGATTTCAAGTAGATAGTATTACCGCCAAAGCCGTCGTCATATCCAGACTCAAATTATGTCCCATCTGAGCCTATAACTGGCGAACTTTTTGATCAGAGTCAAACGCCCTAACCACTGAGTCACGAGCTCGTTTTCATTACGAGTTAGGTCAAAGGATATTGACACTCATCGATGAACTTTCACCCGACCGCTATCGTAACTCATCTGCCCCGCTCTGCCCGGGGTCTCGACATCAGCCCTGGCAACGTTAGCAGCTGACAATGTAGGCAGATAGTATTGCCAGTAAAGACAGATGAAATGTGGATGGCCATTTCTGGTTTATTAGCCGTCGTCAGCCAGTCATACCCATACTCATATGTCGTCCCACCCGAGCCTTGGCCAAGGATAATCACCATGATCAATGCATACTATTGCTCCACCACTGCGCGGGTTCAAGTCTACAACCACCTCTCAGAACCCTTCATTCTTCGGTCTGACGTTCGACAAGGCGTGGGCGATTAACGGAAGCCGG